ACCGAATTTTGATCGTGGTTCATAAAAAATTTCCGGAATTTTTTTTCCCTATTTCGATAGAATGTCACTGATCCACCTTTAGCCAACAAATGTTTTTCTTTCAACCTTGACGCAAGTAATTCAGCTCCATCTTTCGGTAAAGCTAAGTCTCGAACCAGATCATTAAGTTCTTCTCGGCTAAATGTTTCAGGGTCTTTTGTTTTTCCGCCAGGTAAGTACTCTTCATCTTCTGAATATTCTTCTTGCGAACTTTCTTCAACTAGCGTATCGTCTTCTTCTACATCCATTTCTTCAATCGTATTAACTTCCTTGACAACTTCTATTTTTTGTGGCTTAATAGCTGATGAAACATTGGCGTATACAGTTTTCTCTTTTGTATTCCAGGTGAACCCGGTAGTATCTGTCATACAGAAATAACAATTCTGTAAACCAGTTGGTGAAGACCATATCATTGGTATTGTGAATTTCAAGTTGTCCTGTTTCTTGTTTTTTTCCCACCGAATTAACATCATGTTACATCGACCACAAATCGTATGTGGAACCCATGCTGAATCCAAATTAGTAATTTAGAGACCAAAACATTCTTCATAAATTTGTTTGATCTTATCAGAGAACGATCTTCGATTCCTTTCCAAATTGTATTCTCCACAAATGTAACAAAATGAATCAGGACTTTTATTACACAGATGAGAATTACTTCTTGTACAGTGTACATGAGTATTACAGGCACAAGCAATTAAGTCTTCAAAAGTCAAAAACGAGAGTAAAAAAAACAAAAAAAATTTTGGCTCGTGGTCTCAATAAAGTTTCGATTCATATTCAGCGGATCGAAATACATGAAAATCACGCTTAGTTTAGTTTCAAAAAATTTTTTTATCATTCAAACTGCCGATTTTCATCATTTTTACGGTTTTTCGAAGTTTTCTCGAAATTTCGAGGGTGTAGGGGTCAAACTGACCTCGAATTCGGATTCAGCGGACCAAAATACGTACCCGTAGGTAGGTCCGGTCAAATGCACATTCTACTTAATTTTTTTTGTGTGCCGGTGATATTTAGAGGTGTCTGTCCCTAATTTTTCAGTTCCCATTTAAATAACATAGAAAAAAAAATTCTTTTTTTTGTTTATTTTTCTAGCTCGGCATACGCACCTCATATAAATAAGTCCATAGCATATTCTTGTAGAGAATTCAACGCTCTACAAAAAAGGTCTCCTACAATTTTATCATAAGGACAGTCGTTCTAAATTTATATTCAGACGTAAACTTCTAAATGAATAAAATTTTGATTATTCAAGTATTAAACTGATACAAATTAATTTATTACTGTCTTAAAAATTATTTTTATATGTAAAATTGGTTCTGATGCGCTAACATTTTCACAAGGCTAAAAAAAAAATTACTCATGTATCAAATTTTTTTCTTCTTTATTTCATTTACTGCAAGAAAATCATAACCCGAGTAGAATGAATTAAATTTTTAAAAAGTTTCACGCAATTATCAATTTATTACTCTACACGGAGAGAAAAGATAAGTTTGGAAAATCAGAAAAGTGCACGTCTCATAACGCTGATTTATCATCAAAAAATCTGGAAAACGGTTGACCCGAAAGGCCATCTCTACAACTTCCGTTAACTCCATATCTAAGCGCTTAAAATTGCACTTATGAGGTTTTTGAGCTCTTCAAGTCAAAAGTCTGATAAAAGTTTCAATTATTCGTTAATTCATTCAAAAGTTATTGCACTTTAAAAGTTCAAAAAATAGTGTTCTTTGAAACTTTTATCAGACTTTTGACTTTTTTTTTTATATTCCTTGCTGGTGTAGTCCAGCTGGCCTCTATGAATATCATGTACAGCCAATGTTTGTTCGACAATGAGCCGAGTCCTCACAGTCGAAGATAATCGAAAATCAACCTGGCGCATAGCGAAAATTATCCGACCATGGTGGGACTCGAACCCATGCCTGGCCAGTACCCGTAGTTCGAAGTCAAGCACGTTAGCCGCTCGGCTACAAGTACTGGTAGACTTTTGACTTGAAGAGCTCAAAAACCTCATAAGTACGGAAGCCTGGTTGTGCAATTTTAAGCGCTTAGATATGGAATTAGCGGAAGTTGCCGGGATGGCCCCTAGGGTCAACCGTTTTCCAGATTTTTTTGTGATAAATGAGCGTTATGAGACGTGCACTTTTCTGATTTTCCAAACTTATCTTTTCTCTCCGTGTAGAGTAATAAATTGAAAATTCCGTGAAACTTTTTAAAAATTTAATTCATTCTAATCGGGTCATGATTTTCTTACAGTAAATGAAAAATGAAATAAAGAAGAAAAAAATTAGGAAAACGGTTGATAAAGGCCATCTCTGCAACTTCCCGCTAATTCCGTTAATGCATGGCCGTTTTTTTTGAGCTCTCCGAGCTCAAAAAGATACCTTTTCTGTGCTTTCGCGCTCTTTGAACTCAAAAGTCTGATAAAAGTTTCATAGAACACTATTTGTTGAATTTTCAAACCGCAATAACTTTTGAATGAATGAATCAATTTTTACGCGGTTGGCGGCATTCTACGCAGTTTTTTAAGCTTCATAAAAAATTTCTAAGTTTTAATTGGTCAAACTAGAAATTTCGGAGTAACTCCGAAAAAACACTTTTTTCGATTTTCTTTCGTTCACGATATCTCTCGAACGAATCAACCGATTTTGACCAGATTGGCAGCGATCGACGTGGTTTTTCAAGGTTGAGAGCTGATTAATTTTTGAAATCGATCGGTGAAGCCGTTTAAAAGTTATTCCAAAAAAACCACTTCTAAAAAAATTTTTTTTCCTATTTTTTTTTAGATTTCTCCAAATTTCTCAAAATCTATGGGTCCGAATCAGTTCAAATTTTCAGGAAATCTGAGTTTGGCGAAGCTTTTTCGAGTGGCACCAACCGCGATGAAATCGTTTCAACCGTTCAAAAGTTATAAGAGGTTTACATACTTACACACACACACACACACACATACCGTCTGAGTGCCCTAAGAGTAGCTTGCGCCTTCTGCACAATATCTGAGGAAGCAGTGTGCGTCATTTCTGGAACTCTACCTCTCAGAGTCCTAGCTGAAGAAAGACGGAACCTTTACCAACGAAAGAGGTTAACAACACTGAGCGCAGAAGAACTCAGAACGGAACAAAGACAGCACAGCATCGCACGATGGCAATCTCAGTGGGATGCCGCAGAGAAGGGTAGATGGACGCATCGTCTCATACCAAAGATCGACATTTGGCTAAACCGGAATCACGGTGAGGTCAACTACTACCTAACACAGATGTTGTCAGGACATGGCTGCTTTCGGGCTTATCTTCACCGCTTTAGGCATAACGACTCTCCGGAGTGCCCGTCCTGCCCTGGAGCCACTGAAGATGTAGAGCACGTTTTTTTCGAGTGCTCGCGTTTCAATCAACAACGTGAGGAGCTGGAGAAGATCCTGAAGAAGACAATTCAACCAGAGTCAATCGTAGAAGCAATGCTGTCTTCAGAAGATGCCTGGAATGCAACGAACACTTTTACCACAGAAGTGCTAACAGAGTTGCGTTCCATCGAGAGAAAAAGAGCAAAAGACAAAACCTAGAAGGAAGAAAACAT